AATGTTTAAAAATTGATATATATATTTTACGTTGTTTTTTCCATGACTCTCTGCGTTGGACATCGGGTCGCTACAGTGAACGAGGTTCTGATAGGTTTGAATCAAATTTATCATTTTCATTTCGTAGTTGGGTCTAGACCTTTTTTATATACATATAATTATATATGTATACTTCTACTAGTGGCACTTGCTTCATTTATCTGTACATACATTCTCTATTCAGTACATCGTATAGTCCATTTTATTCAACACATGCGCGATTTTAGAATATTATATCGTACGAATACCGTAAGTTACTGATTATACGTATGCTATCGCAGTAAATGTTTCCATTATGACACTAGTAACTTATTTTTTATAATATGGTAGTTTATGTCAGTTTCATTATAACTGTAGTCGTTAATTTTCAAAGCAGATAATTTTATAATTTCATGTGTATAATTATTAAGCGAATATTTTTATTATATTAGACAAACGCGTATGTGTGAGTACATTGTCGTTGAACGTTACTTCTTTAAAGAAACTGTTAATCACGCATTTGTTGAATAAAGCAAAATATGCACAATGCGGGTCAAGTCTTTATGAGATAAATGGCATCTGTAGCTCACTAATTGCACTTGCACTTGCATTCCGCTCGTGCATGTTCGTTACAACCCGTCTTAAAGAACACATACCGCTTGTCCCATAAAAACGTATTAAGCCCACTTGTTGCATAATGAACTATTATTAATAACAGTAACTAGATTGTTTGTAATGGAGAACTTGCGTAACTATTCAACGAATATTTGTAGAAGGAGAACACTTATATTGTGAAAGAGGTTTATTTAATTGTATGTATTTTTGTAAATATAGTATAATTTTATTTTATTTGAGCAGTTTGGTTCAATTGGCAAAGCCTGTAGCTTTATTCTATTCTTTTATTAATTTACTAAATACAATTAATTATAAAACAAATGCTCTTCCTCAGAAGTACGCTTTACATTTCTTCTTCTCTACGCATAAAAAGTTACACCTTTACTTCGTTCTTCTTTTCGTTCGTTCTTTATGAAAATCTGTGGAAAGTAGATTTGTTTTATTACTTTTTAACTGGTTACTTCGTTTCAAGTGTGTTCTATTGTAGTCAGTGTAGTCCTTTCAGCTTCACTCTTTATTATTCAAGTTCACCATTGCAAATTGTTTACAATCATTTGTATATAATTTACTGATATTGCTATTGTACAAACAAATGCAAATTGTTTTAAAAATATGAGGCGTCATTCGTTTTATTAAAAGTTGATAAAAATCAATACATAATTATCCAGTAATTATAATAATTTTCTAACAAAAGTTGAACGATGCCAAAAATTTGGCCGCCTTGTCGATTCATTCAACTTAAATTAGTCATTTCTAATTATATCGAATGTTAACAGAAAATTTATAATTTTAAAGCATTAGCTACTTACATTCTAGACTGTTTGCATTCAGTTCAAGTCAAACAACAATTTTTTAAAGAAGAATAGAAATGATGACATTTATTTCTGTTATAAATAAAGTAATTAGTTTTTATCAATTAGTTTGTTGCTGCTACTAATTCAACTTAAAATCTATATTTTAGTTTTGAAATTTTACATAAAATTAGATATGAATTAGATAGAACATTATTAAAAATTCACAGCTTAGCTTTTTTGAAACTAAACTTCAGTAACAAAAATATGTCTTTTCTTTAGTTATGTTGTGGTAGATATAATTCTATGTATTATTTTATACAGAAATTTTATTCTAGTAATGGTGGAAGGCTTAACTTATTGAAACTGATTTATAAAATATGTACTAAAAACTTTTAATACTTTTTTAGTCTCCCAAAAAAAATACTACTTTAGGAGAATGTAATATATTTATATTGGAAGAAATGCGCAGAAAATGTACCCTACCTCAAAATTAATACAGTTAACCACAGATAGTCCCTAAGATTAAAACTTGATTTTAAATATAATATAGGCATAATTAAAAATCACAATCACACAAAATAATTCATTGTGTTTTAGCTTTTTATTTTTTAAAATTTCATTTCATAGTGGAAGTAGAATTAAAAGTTCAGTTTTATTAATATTTTATTGTAACATCTTTTTCTTTCTTGAAGATTTTACCTCTTCATTTTTAATAATTCTAGTGGCGCCTCAAAAGTGTAGTATAGATGCAATGTAGTTTTCATTATAATTTTCAACTAAACTAATCAAAACTAACATTCTAACAGGTACTTACATTATTAGATAAATACTAATTGATTTTGCTTACGTAGTTTTTGGCAAGTAGGAAACATTTATCCTTATATGCATCGAATAGTCATCGACAATGAGATAACAATAATTCTAGGTGTTGATTGGAAATCACTGACAATACCTGCGTGTCTTCCAATAACGACGGACTACTTTCCAGACAAGAGAGCTCTTCAGGTCGATTACGTCTTTTCACTTTACCACTTGTTACCCGATGATGTGAACGCTGATTTTGCACAGCAGCGTACGAACTATAAAAAGCCTTTATCAACCGCCGAAGTTTTTCGAGAATTGGTGTCACAAAGATTGGCCCAGGGTTTTCAACTCATTTTATTGCCAAACAAAGACTATTCATTGTACCCCACTCAAACGTCGTCGAGTGCTAGCTTGCTATCACGAAAAAGGGCAGAAACTGAACCAATTGAAGTGTTCTATCTTTCCATAGGACGGATTTTTCATAAGATTTCCTTAAGCGGAAATGCAATTACCGTTACAAGATATAGACCAAGGTAAGGTTTATTTTTATTTTAGATACTTTTGAAATAAAAAGTAAATTTAAGGTGTAAAATGTGTTGTTGACTAAAGTTCTTTTTAAACAATTTTAACTGTGGGCATTGGGCATTCCACAATTTAGAGTAATACGTTTTGGTTCTAAAGTATTTATTGATTCCTTTATAATTATTTCGCCACACAGTATCTTCTTCAGGCGGAAGAATCTTTTTCCACTGTAGAAGTAACTGTGAATGAGTAAGTTATAGTTACAAATTGAATTTTATTTTACAGGCATCCATATCCTTCATTTAACATCCATTATAGATACAGATTTCAGGCGCCATATCATGAAACATATGAAGTGTCCTGGGTAAGTTTTACTACCGAAAAATTAGAGAACTACCATTGGAACTATTTGGACCACTACATATGCACTAGAGGGGATACAGACTTCCTATTAGTGGAGGCATTAAAATATTGGAGGTTTGTAATTAAAAACAGCGGCTGAGTGTAAAGGTTAAATACACTATGTCTGATCAGTATTCCGGAATATTTGCAAGGTAACATCTGAAGGAAGTGCAAAGTGCATCTCCTGATAGTGCCAGAACGTAGAGAATGTAAAAAATATGCACCAAAAGTACCCCAGTTATCTTATCGGCCATTGTTATCGCAAACACTCATACCTACTCATGACCTTCACAACAACTGGTACGCAGACAGGTCAATTGTCAAAATATAAAGATAAGTTAAGTGTAAAAAACAAAACAAAAAAAAGTGTATTCGCACGCAGAATATGTGAACATGGTGGTCACATATGGACGGTGCAATGAGAACGCACTGTTGCATCACGCGAATGGGCAACATCATTACTGGAGCAGTTGGGTAGACCGGTAAGGTCATTGTTTTTATCTTTATGTATACCACTGAGAGTGTAAGATGAGTCAGTTTATTTCTTTTTCATGTACCTTCTTCTTCCTTATTTTTTCCGGAGTACTAATCAAACATATTGTATTAGTGTATAAACTTAAAATTAGTTATTATTATGTATTCATGGTTTGCTAACCGTTCGGTCAGCTAATGCGCACGCGCACATATCTTTGCTCCATTCAGCCCTTAACATTACATTGAATGTGGGGAAAGCTGTATTGCAAGTTCCTTTAGTGCCATATAATATGTAACAACAAGGCAAATGTTTTAGTTTGCTTATACTCTGTAGCGGCATGGTAACAAATTGTGTACCGTCCCAAAATGAAGAATTTGCAGTAAAAATTATTAAATGACCAATATCTTAGTTACGTTTAGAAAATAAGCAATTTCAAAATTAATTTAACTATATATTTTTAAATATTAACAATCAAATTTCTTCTATTAATAAAACATTCAATATTTTTAATCATTAAAGAAGCAAGAGAAAATGTAAGATAGAATATTAATTTAATTTGTTTTTAGATTCCGAATTTATCTTTTGCCTTTAAATAACTCCGCAACAAAAAGGATAATAGAAGGTGCACCACACTACGACATATACAGTCCCCTTACAGCATCTGATCATACTCTGAATGCGGAAGGTTTTTTAAAATTTATCGAAACGGCCGTCAACAAAATAAAACGAGCGTGTACAGTAAAGAAACCAAGAGTAAGTATTTACATATATCATACTTGTATCTAACCTACAGTTGCTTACTTTTTACATTTGTTGCAATCTTCTATTTTGCGTAAAGCTTCTTCGAAGGAGTGAAAAAATTCGTGTTGTTTTTCCAGTAATTCGACAGAATATATTCAAATAATTAATTCAATGTTGTGTATTGTGGCTTAAATTGTACGTACAACTAAAATGTAAATTACGAAAATAATTTTATTAGATTATTCTTAAATTAGTTATTAATACTGAAAATTCTTGAATACTTAACATTTAAATAATAACTCTTTTTATTTTGCGTACATCATTTGTATTAATTTAATATAAACTAATGTAAATAAAAGTAGAAAAGCACTTAATCGATTTGCATGTCAAATATAAGAATAATTTGCTTGCATGTTGTAGATGTCTTTGAGCATGCCTAACAATGCGTCCCTGATTCAACAGCGGCGCCTAAGCTTGAGTGCCATTATATTAAAGAACGAAGCACTTAACCAGGTATTAATTAATCTTATTAATTAATTAAATTATAACAAATTTCACAACTCACGTCGAAATTGAACTTTATTAAATACTTTTTGACTGTCATATATGAAGCTGCACTACATTTTACAGAAATTGCCTCATGAAATTTTAAAAGAAAATGGTACCTATATTACACACCACGGGGCGTTGCAAAAGTAATAGCTAATGGAAAATAATTTCAATACTCATTGCAAAAAAATTTATCATTTCAACCCTGGTGCATCGGATTTCCATAAAAAATCATGCAGGATGAACAAGTGCATTTAGTTAGTGTGAGTCTCCACCACGTGGTGCAATACTTAATAGCCCAGGCAAAAATTTTCCGTGTGTTTAGTAAACACCCTGTGTATGAAAAGTATAAGTGAACCAAGAATTCCGCCTGAGCATTTAATCTTGAATTATGTATATTGATTTACAGTAATTGATTGAATTTAGAAACTAATGCATACGGCCTTCTCACGCAAAATTAATAATATTCATATCTATAAATTTAATCGGAATAAAACGATTATTATATTAGGGGCCGAAATGGGAGGTAGGAGGGGTAGAGGTAGACCTAGATTAGATTACTGTTCGCAAATAGTTAAGGATGTGGGTTGTTCTAGTTTTAGGGAAATGCGAAGATTAGCTTGACGACTTTATGATGATGATCTACATCTACATCGGTAGTTACTCTTGATACAGATTTGATACTATAAGGCCGAAACAATAATAGAATGAAACTCTAATATACTGAATCATTAAAAAGCATAATACATAGTTTTATTTCTTTAATTTTACAAAATGTTTCGTATTGCACCAACCAGGAAATCAGAGGGAATTATTAAGAATTTGTAAATTGAACAATGAACGTATTTGGAAATAATATTTATAAATCAATTATCAAGGTCCCAAACCACCCGTAATAATTATAATGGTGGATCCAGAAGTGGGGACGGAGGGTACATAGTTCAGTGCTGTAAAAATGTTACGTGCACACTTCACTACTTACTTTCATCCATGTTCATCTTATGTGGTTATAGTTTTAGGGTTGTAATTGGTTACTATACTAACGTTATATTTTAAAAATGCATTCTATAAACGAATGTCTTGCTTTGTTATCGAGTTTGTAAGGTACCAACTTTTTTTTTGAGATATGTAATGAGGGTGTAATACTGTATTTCTTGATTCTTGTCCGCGTTTGAATTATAAACAATGGATCCCAGATTTGCAATATGCGATGAAAAAACCATACAATGTACCTTTTGCGCGTAAATGTTCAATTTTTGTTTCTATATTTGTCATTTTAAATTTCAATTTTACATTCGTAATCAACGACCACTAAAATTCTTATACGATACTCAATACTGAATTTTAATTGAAAAATTAAACGCAACTGTAGTGATTACTTCAACAGTAACATTTCACAAAACCGTATAAAAATGCTCTTTAAACTCTAACATCCAGCACCACAAGAACCAAAAGTAGTTTAAATCAAAAAAAAAAAAAAACTATTAGTTTACATTTGAAGTTAAATTTGTAGGGTCACCAAACAGGTGAACATTGGGATCACACTTTCGTTTTGATTTTTAAAATGCTTTCACCTGTGTATTTTAAAACACACTCAAAAATTTTGTTACATTAGCAATTTAAATTAGAACAATATGTAATTCTTGTATTTTTATCAATTTCCTAGATTGTAGTCACATAAACTATTGCTCTTAAAGTATTAATATTTGTTTATTGTTTTTTTTATTGTTTTTTATGGAATTTTTAATTTTTTGAATATTACCTTTTTTAATACTCGCATTTTTTGCTAAATGTGCTAGATGCATCCTGCACTTTTAGAATTTGACGAATTTAATTGTTCCCTTTTATAATAATGAATTTTACGATTTACTCATTTAATATAAGAAATTCTAAGAGAGGATGGCCAAAGTCTAGAACATAGTGGCATTACATCTAAGTTCATAAATTTATATTCTACGATTCGAAGCAGCAGGAAACCTAGGAAATCCAATTTTTTTTAACTATTCATTTTTTGTCTTGGTTGTATACGATGTTTCAGATTGTTGCTACTTTCTTGGGAATCTTAGATTTTATGCTTAAATATTAGCATTCAAACTTTTAACAATAGAAATATCGCAGCCACATTGATCCAGTAAATGTTTTCATGAAAAATTGAAGTTATTTCCCTACTTAACAGGTAGCACTTTTTTGTAGTTTTTGTAATCTAACATATTAATTACAGCAAACATAACATCACCTTTGCAAGTACGTCATGTAATTTTGTTTGTTTTATTTTTTAATTTTGTGCACGCCAGTAAAACATTAATCTTGCTGCATTCCTCAGTAGGCTGATTTAGAGCAAAAATTTTGAATAAAGAAATAAATTATAATAATCACAATATATTCCTTGAAAATGTTCCAGAATGCTGTAGGCAATTCGCCGTTCCGTGAACGTCTAGGAAGTAACCGTTTACCAGAAAGACCAATGAGGGCCAGGTTGGAGACTTCATCTATTTTAGTTTATGATATAAAACACAGATCTCATCAAAATAAACGGTTCAAAATTGAGTAGGATACATCGTATTTTAAAAGGCTAAACATTTTTCATAAATTAAAATATAATTTACATACGTCCCCAAAAGATATATATGTAAATGTATTCCATTTATATGTGTAAATAATGACTAACGAAAGTGTTGTGGTATTCAACTTCTTCTAAGGCATTCTATCTATCTGAGTTACATGAATACTTTTTCATAAATAATTGCAGGTATTCTATACTATCATATTCTAAAAATTGCTGAGCTAAATAATAAAATATGTTTAATAAATAAACTACCTTTAAATTACGCAAGTAAATTAATAGCAGTATCGAAAAACCCGCACAACAAAATTTTCAGCCGAACCCATTTTCTTTTCCAAAACATTTAATAAATAAATAAATTTAAAAAACCCTTAATATAAATTAATGAATTCCGACGAAAGGAGAGAGGATTATAGGGGTCATGGTTAGCCTCTCCCCCTTAGAATTAAAAAGAAATTATAACGAAGTCTAGCTAGAAATTTTCAAAAATATGTTTAATAGAAAAATTGGAACAAAAAAATTGTTACATATTCAAATTTAGCAATAACGGACTTTTTAATGGTATTGGAAAATTGAATATGATTCAAAGATTGCAAAGAAACGCAAGAAAGGCATTTCATAAAACATTTTAGAAACAGCGTGGATTACGTGGATATGGGAAAGTACGAAAAATAAACAGTTTCTGATAAATTGTTATTAGTCGTCTTTAATAAAAAACATTTTCAACTGCTCAGTTTTGATACATTTATTTTATGAAAATCTGTATAAAAAAGAAATTTCAATGCTTGGGCTTGTAGTGGTGGTGACCTTCTCGATGTTTTATACACAGGTTATTTTCGTAGGTGCAGATATGTAGTACATGCATTTTTATAGAAACGCAAGACAATATATTTTCTTGCTTGTCTTCCTTTTATTAAAAAATGCTTTTATATGCCAAATGATTTTGCGTGCTTTTTACAGACAACTTCACTGCGGTGTGGTGACAGGGGCGTAGCCACTGCCATTAGGTCAGTAGTTGATAGAAAGTAGTGATTGTTTTAAACTGTTTGATAGTCGTTTTAATTTTTGAATTTCTGATTTTCCGTCTTCAAATTTTTAGGTCTACGTTTTCTTCTAAACTGGCTTATGATAATATGTATTAATTTATAATCAATTTAATCAAATTAATCAAATGATATTTCTATTTCTGAAAAAAAAAACAGGAAATAAGTTTTCTTATTTTATAAATGTAACTGTTAAATGTCCCACTTTTTTGCAATTTTACTCATTTAAGATAAAGAAGAAATAAAATGTCAATCATAATAGTTAAAAAATGTTTTAAATATGTGAAGTTAAAAAATTAGGCTCAACCTTTGATTTAAAATTTTACTGCACAGGTATATAATTTTTTATGTATTAGGTAATGACAACTTTACTTTCAAACTGACTTAAATACCATTGCAACTTTGTTAACAACATTTTAAAAGCATCATAAAATGCTGTTATTTTTGACGCTTCATTTTTTGGATTAAAATTGAGATGATAAGATTAAATTGTTTTTAAAAATATTTTTGTCATATAAATATCAAATTTGAGACATTCCTTCCATTAAATTTAGTAATTAAAATTCAAGAAATCAAAAGTTTAAAAGTTCTGTAAATCTTTATTATATTAGGCAGGATCCATTATATATCTTCCAAAGCTTCAGATGTGCCATATACTTGTCTGTGAATAAATAAAAGTCAATTTTATTCAAGTTGCCAATACCACATAATTACTACACTATTTGTTGTGTTCTTTCTTTTTATTGTATGATTTTAATATTTACACTACTATCGCTGTAAATACGCATTTGTTGCATGTTTAGTGTTAGACATTTTGAAAGCAAAACGCTAATTTTATTAGCAGTACTGGTAGAAATATGAAGTTACAATACTTTTGGTTTTTTAAAAGATCTGGTTCTAAAGGAATGGAGAGAGGTCGCAACTCGCCAGCGGTCGAAACTTCCCAGGGACAAACCTATGATTCCACAACTCATGAGACTAATGATGAAAAGTAAGTTTCCTGAAAAAAAGATGTAATTTATATAAAATAGAATCTGCCGTTACACAGTGGAAATTCATTGCGAATATTTAAAAGTAAATGAATACACTAATCTGAGTTTTTAGATAGATTTTTACTTGACAATTGTTTCGTCAAACGTTGGCTCGTTTAAACATTATTGAATAAATTATTAACAGTTTTCAGCAAATATGTATCGTCGATAGTTTAAATCATGTTTTTATACATATACCATAATATTAAGATCTTGATAACTTATTTTGTTTGCTATTTTCCTTTCAAAAACACAAATTATTGAATACTTATATTTACTTTTTTAGTGTATTTATTCAAGAAATTCATCTTCGAGTTACTGCAACATCTGCTGAAATAGTAGAAGCTTTGAGACATCCTATAACTGGTTTAAATATTCTTAATGCACAGCAAAATTTACCATCCACCACATTTGTTGCTGCAGATGCAGTTAATTGGTTAATTTCAAATATGGAAGGCGTAACCTGTATTGAGCATGCAGTAAGGGTAAGACATTATATTAAACGGAATGTCATTTCTAGTTAGAACAAACGAATTTGATTTATTTTTAATTAATATAATTAGCATCTAGCAAGGAGGAGTTAGAGATAGCTTTAAATAAAATGGCAGCGGTATTGACAAAATAGTATTGTATGAAAATAAATAAAAGTAAAACAAAAATACTGGTATGCAAGGGAAGGAAAAGTAGGGAAAGAGC